AGTGCCCACCCACTTTTCGAGGTGGGGGGCCAACCATGTGTTTTGGCCCACCCACTTTTTACTCGAGGCCCCTCGTCTCGTTTTGAGAGGACGTCGTCACCTTCCAGAATAAACAAACTCGGTAAAAATAAGTTCCACGAATCCCCACGCACGGACTCCAAGGGGCCGTGATGGATCCAAGGAGGCCCTCTGTTCATACTTGTCAGTCGAATCCCCTGAGACTGATGGCCTGAGAGGCCCTAGTGGATCTGAGGAGGCCCCAATATCCACACTGGTCTGGGGAGGCACCTGACACTGGCGGTCTGGGAGGCCCCTCTATCCACACTAGTTAGAGGTTTGAGACTGGTGGTCTGGGAGGCCCCTCCATCCACACTAGTCAGAATAGGCCCCTGACACTGGCGGTCTAGCCGAGGCCCCCTACCCTCACTAGTCAGAGGAGGCCCCTCTATCCTCCATAGTCAGAAGAGGCCCCTGAGACTGATGGTCTGGGAGGCCTATCCATCTACACTGTAGTCAGAGGAGACCCCTGAGACTGATGACCTGAGAGGACCTTATAATCACACCAAGCAGAAGAGGCCCATGATACTGATAGACTGAGAGGCCCTTCTATTCATACTGGCCACAGGAGACCCCCAAAACTTTCGGTCTGGGAGGTCCCTCAATCCGGCACCAGTCAGAAGAGTCCCCTGAGACTGATACCTGGGCAGGCGCGGATACAAGGGGGGGGGCCATGGGGGCCATGGCCCCCCCCTTGGCCGATTTTTTTCAAAAATAAAATAAAAAGTTAAAAAGCTGAAAAGGGGCCTCCTGAAAATAAAGTGGCCGAAATCCGATGAGTTTTTTTTTTAACCTACCCACTTAGTTATTTCTTAGAAGACTAGCTGAGGAGACTTCTTTGTTAGAAGATTGGTAAAGCTTTTCATAACTTGGAGGTCTCTTATACTCACAGAGATGACCACTTTTACAGGGCCTCCTAACCTGCACAGAGGGCCTCCAAGCCTGCACAGATGTCCTAACAAACACAAAATCTCTTAGCCTACACAGAGGCCTCCACTCGCATCCGAACAAAGGGCCTCCTAGCCAACACAGAGGGCCTCCTAACTCACACAGAAGGTCTCCTATCCTGCACAGAGGGACTCCAAGCCTGCACAGATATCCTCTTCGCCAACACAGGACCTCTTAATCTCCACAGAGGGCCTCCACTCGCATCCACTGAACAGCTAGATAAGCTCAATAGACGCAGTTTTTTTTTTGGGGGGGGGCCAACAAGTGGGAAGATGGGGCCTCCAACAGGTGGGGGGCCTCCTGGTTTCTAATGGCCCCTCCCTTGGAGATTTTCTGGATCCGCCCCTGTACCTGGGAAGCCCTTATATTCACACTAGGCAGAGGAGGCCCCTGAGACTGATGGTATGAGAGGCCCTCATATTCACACCAGTCAGAAGAGGCCCCCGAGGCTGATGGCTGTGAGGCCCTTCTGTTCATATAACTAGCCACTGGAGGCCCCTGAATTCGGTGGTCTGAGAGGGCCCTCTATCCACACTAGTCAGAAGAGGCCCCTGAGACCGATGGTCTGAGAGGCTCTTATATTCATACTGGCCACAAGAGGCCCCTGAGACTGATAGTCAGAGAGGTCCACTCCTAATGAATCTGAGGGGGCCCTCTATCCACATTTACACTTTTCTAGGGAGGCCCCCGAGACTGATGGTCTGAGAGGCCCTTTTATTTATACTGTAGGAGCCCCCTGAGATTAATGGTCTGAGAGGCTCTTCTATTTATGCTAACCAGAGGAGGCCCCTAGGATTGATGGTCTAACAGGCCCTTCTATTTATACTAGCCAGAGGAGGCCCATGAGACTGATGGTCTGAGAGGCCCTTCTATTCAAACTAGGCAGATGAGGCCCCTGAGAATGATAGTCCGAAGAGCCATGCGGCGGCAACTGGCCGTGGCCATATTTCGGTTCGGTAGGGCCCCACAGCGCTCATGAGAGCACCTCAAGGGCTCCTAAGTAGACACGCTTATCCCCATAAGGGTGCCACGCCGGCTTCTGAAGGCTCCTTGTAGGCATCTAAGGGCCCTTTCCGGCCTCTAACGGCTCCACCCGCCTGTGATGGCTCCACACCAGTGTTTATGAGCGCCACACAGCGGCGCCTTTGAGGGTCATACTAGTGTCTCTCAGGGCCCTATATCGGTGGCTCTGGGGGCCCCACACCGGCGCCTCTGTGGGCCACCACACCTGTGCATCTCATTCTCAAGGCTCTATAGGTACATCTGAAGGACCCACACCGACACCTCTGAGGGCCCCACACCAGTATCTCGGAGCTCTGAAGGCCCCACACCGGTGACTCTGAGGACTCACCGGCTCCTGAGAGCACCATGTTGATGTCTAACGGCTCCACAAGGCCACTGAAGGCACCACACAAGCTCTCACTGAGCTCTAATGTCCATGTACCGGCCTCTGAGGGATTTAAGCCAGCGCATTCATAGCTCCACACCAGCAATAGTAAGGGCTTCACACTGAAGTATCTGAGGGTTCCACACCGGTGTCTCTAAGGGCCACATACCGGCATCTCTGAGGGCCCCATACCGTCGTCTCCGAGGGTCCACATCTGGCGGGCACCCATCAGCGACTGAAGGTCCCACACTGTGGACTCCGAGAGCCCCATCTGCGTCTGGGAGCACCATGCCGTCTCTAAGAACCACAGAGGCTCCTCCGTACGAAAGATGGGCGTCTGCATGCCAAAGGGGAGCGGTTCTGAGACAGTAGGGCACCTACGTGCAATAGAGGGGCGCCTATGAAGCCCATAGGAGCGCCTCAATGCGAAAGAGGGGCGCCTCTGAGGCCTACATATATGGGCGTCCACATGCAATAGAGGTCTGCAACTGCAATTGATCAATGCCATGGGGGTGCATTCATAAGAAACAGGGGCGCCGGCATGGCAAAGAGAGGCGCCTTCAAGTGTCCATAAAAGAGAGACGCCTATGATAAGCGCACATTGTATGCGACAACGGGGCGACTGTGGGACATATAGGGATGTCTCTGATGACTATACATAGGGCGCTTAAATGCCAAAGAGGGCGCCTATGAAGCTAATGGGGGCACCTGGGAAACAAGGAAGACATAATTTGTGTAAGGGTTTTCAGGGGTCATGCGCCGTTTGCGGCAAATAGATTCTAAAAAAATCGGAGATGGAATAAGTTTTAAAAATGGTGCTGACTTTCCGCGCTGTTCGCTTAAGCGGTTACGCCCCTGGGTTCATCTGCCCGATCTCAGAAGCTAGATTTGGAGGTCATACCTACTTGAAAGCAGCCAGCAGGACGAGGCAAAAGTTGGAGGCCCCTGAAAATAGGAGGCCCCCTGGAAAAGGAGGCCCCTTGACAGGGTGGCCCACCCACTTTTCATGACGTTCCTACGCCCGTGATGAATACCTTTCGATGGAGGGGTCGCGAGCCACTGGTGCGCGAATAGTCGTGGAGGGTTACTACTCTCCAGAGTGAATTGCGAAAGTGTTATGTCCTAAATTGACTCCTGGGAGGGTGGTTAAAAATGGTTGCGGATAGGGGTACCCGCGAGGCACCGGTTTACTCGCCAGTTTTGGGTGAAATTGTTTTCAGTGTGTAGTCAAAAGCTAACGTAAAAAGGTGTAGTAGTTCTTGAAAGCATTGGTGTGAGAGCCGCTACGCGGGGACCCGAAAAACTACTCTGTTGATGTTGATGACCACAGATGCGATGTCGTGACCTGTATCATACACGAATCGTACGCTAACGGTAGTGCCTATTATCTACGGTGTAAACTACTCCTGCATGAAATAGGCGTCACCACAGCCTAACAGCTGGGCCGAAACAGTTAGCAAGGAGACCGGTCATGGGTCGTGCTGTCTTAACTCTCCGTTGACCCCGTCCACCGCCTCAGGCGATACCGGCGCCGCTGGGGCTCACCTATCGGGTGCACATTGCTCTATCTCAGTATACCCCGTCACTTTACAGATAACTTGTCATACAGATAACAGATAACAGTCATATAACTTGACAGATACCGGCAGTGGCGCGGGAACCGGGGGGGGGGAGCTAGCGGGGGCTGAGCCCCTCCCCCTCCAGCTTTTCGGCCGGGGGGCGGGCTCGTAATGTATTTGAGCCTCCCCCCCCCCCCCCAGCTGGAGGAATCGAAATCGGAAATCTACCAACATAATTTCATAGATTCATGCATAGGCGCGGGAACCGGAGGATGGGGCAGTGGGGGAAGCTTGCCCCCACAACTCTGCGGCCGTGGGGGCGGTGCCCCACAACTTTTCATGAGGCCAGGAACCGTTGGGCAGCTTGTCCTCCCCAAATTAGGGGTTGTGGGTCACAAAGGAAGAAAGCATGTAAGTGAAAAATCCCGCAGCTCTTTCACTAGCTCGGCAACTCATTTGGCACTTTACCTGGAGTAAAACCTTTACTCCAGGTTGCCAAAACGGTAGTTTCTTCACTCAGCTGAGACGGAATACCTCACTTTTTTGCATTTTTTTTTTCGTTTTGTTGTTGTTGTTGAAAAAGCCAAAGTCGGAAAAATAAGTGGCCTAAACCGGTGAGAAAACTAGATTTGGGGGTACCCTGGGTTGATCTCTATTATGCCCCCCCCCCCCCCCAAGTCTGACAGAAGTTCCCGCGCCACTGGATACCGGTGGTGAACGACATAAACACTTTAAGTTGCTGAATATTAGGTAGAGTATACTTAGGTGTTGTTTTCATCCGCTGGGACTGAGAGCGTGAGATGATGTTTTTCGTACTCCAGCGTAGATGTCTCGGTGGGTCACCTGGGGTCAGAAAACCGCTCCTCTCTAGGCCACTATACCTTGTCTCGGTGGGTCACACGGGGTCAGAAGATCACTCCTCTCCAGGTCACTATACCTTGTCTCGGTAGGTCACATGGGGTCAATATATCGCTCCTATCCAGGTCACACTACCTTGTCTCGGTAGGTCACATGGGGTCAATATATCGCTCCTCTCCAGGTCACTATACCTTGTCTCGGTGGGTCACATTGGGTAGTTAGACCGCTCCTCTCCAGGCCACTATACCTTGTCTCGGTAGGTCACACGGGGTCAGAAAACCACTCCCCTCTAGGTCGCACTGTCCGACGCCCGGGGCCTCAATGCCAGTGTTGTCCCTATCGACACCCTGTACGGGGCTCGTGACATTGCTGTAGCCGATACGGTATCTCTGCACCGATAAGGTATCAGTGGACCGACTGGGACGAGTATGAATACTTCAATTGATGGCAGTGGCGAATCCAGTGGCACGTTTGGGATGGGGCAGCTCATTGGAAATGGGGACACTCAAGGCCGTGGGGGGGGGGGGGGGCGACACTAGTTCTGGTATAGTCAACTGGTAGTCATCACTTGACCGCTGACCACCGCGACCGTCCAAATTTGGAGCATCACACAAAATTCTTAAATGTATCCCCAAGAGTTTTAACTTCAAAAAGGTGCTCATCAAGATAAGTTCATCAAAATTGCATGACCTTGACGCTACAATAAGCCAGAGAACAAACTTCATTCCTTTTTTGGCTCACTTCTACTTGCAAAAGTAAGGTACACGTACAGATTATATGCGCTTATGCGGCGAATCATCATTCTTGTCGAATATTGTCTTAAAACAATGCATAATTTCAAAGGTCAATGGTCGGACCACGAACGTTTTGAGGTAAGGGTATTGATTAGAACTGAGTGATAAACGTTACGTCAATATTCACCACTTTTTAGAGGTGAGTAAAACAACCGAAAGGCCCTATTGGACGCTCCCCTCTATGTGATAGTGGCTATACCGGCGGTATCCAGCCTTCTAAAAGAAATAGTGTCCACTGGCGGTATCCAGAATTCTAAAATAATAGTGTCCACTGTCGGTATGCAGCCTTCTAAAAGAAATAGTGGCCACTGGCGGCATCCAGCCTTCTAAAAGAAATAACGACCACCGGCTGTATCGCACCGCTGGATACTAAACCGTGTCCTGTATCCACCAGTCGATGGTGAGGTGTCCCGGATCCATACCCGTGCGGTGTCCATACAGCTGTAATATAACTAACACACACTGTACAGTCTACAGTTGACGGCAGAACGATGCACCGTTTCTCAGCGGGCAATCAGCTGCCTGCAGTGGTAGGCTGTCCCGCACCGCACCGGCTGGGTGACACATTGATTACCATAGACACACTTCATGTGTGATAATCAGTAAAGCCTAACGGCTCAGTCAACTGAAGTGCTGGGCTGGTGGTGAGGGTAAAAAGTATGATTCCCCCGTCCCCTGAGGGATGCATTTCCTGGAAATTATCTGATTTTTCTTTTTACTGTACCTCTCTGGGTTTGGCTTAATTTTTACGGAACACTTATATTAGGCAATCTGAAGTTGCACACACTTTTTATGACGGATCCGACATTAGAGCTCCACGTCACTTCAAGTAGGTGACTTCTTTACATCACAACTTCGTATGACATTATGGAATGATACGTTCAAAGCATTGCATAATGGTCAGAAGCCTTACAGTCCCTTTGACGGGTTACCGTCACGAAATAACGGCACTGCATAGCAGCGCTTTGAAATTCAGTAAAATTTGTGTATTGAACGTCTCAACCACTGTGTATTTCAATCGCCATCAGCCCGTGATATCCCATGAACGACATCGAACCGGGCATATCCGGTCCAAACCAACCACAGCCGACCGGACCACCGACGGTCCGACACAGTGACGGGCGAGGTCCGATATCGCCCGGACCGGCCACCCTCACAGATAGCTCCAACGACTCTGGTCTAAACTGAAACTACAACACAACAGCACAGCGGTGTGAGCCAGCGTGGCGTCACGTCACAACACACGTGACGTCACCACGGCGGTACCTCCGGCACGGTGACAACGGTTTACCGACGGCTGGACAGTGGCCCAGAGCGTGATACATATCGGATACTGAATATACCTACTGTCTATCAAAGCAGTGTCAACAAACGTAGCAATCTGTGCTCAAATGATCAAGCATTTAGGTGGCCACTCAACCCAAACCAGCCTGGTACAGCGGTAAAGTACCCACGGACCTGAGCCGATGGGACAGGGCGACTCAAAGCACTTCTGGATATGAAGGTCTAGTAGACGTGCATTGTGTACAGAACAGCGCTACCGACGGGATACGGTGCTGCCATCTGTTGTCGAGTTCCGACACTGTCGCCGGCACCGGAGCGGACGAGGCACCGGGAAGCTAGTCGTCTACGTGAAGTAACTCAAGCTGATTTTGCTGCCGTTGGGAGGCTTGGTAAGATTGTCGTATACAGACTCTGGAAACAGAGCACGTCAGATTACACACTGATTGCTAGTGATGTCACATGGGGTAACTCAGACTGGTGACGTCACTTACAGATATAGAAACAAATACAATGACAATGTGTGTATCACTGAGTAATGACGTCATGAGGGCTGATACTGATACTGTGACGTCACTAACGGAGCTACACGTCACCTATTGTGACGTCAGTAGTACTGGTGACGTCACGTGCGTCAGTGTGTGTCCGAGAGGCCGGTGGCGCCGTGTCGGCTGGTGTGGGTGGTCAGAGACGCCGTCACTTACCGGGGACGGCGAACCTGATGATACGGGACTGGCCACCGTCACATCCCAGGTCTGTCTCGTGCAGAGCGGTCAGGACGCCCTTGCAGTTTTCGAGTGAGGAGGTTAGGAACAGTGTCTTCAGTTTCCTGCAGGTCACTGCCATCCTGCAACACATCATAACAGAACAGAACAGGTCACTATACAGGACACAGTCACACAGTGGCACCAGCGGGCGACTCCACACGGAAACACCATGTAGTTCCAATGCCGTTCATAACAGAACATATGTGCCTCCAGCTACCTCAAGTTCCCAGTCTGGTGCTGCAATTGGCTATACATGTTTCACACGATACTAAGAGCCTTACGCCATCCAATATTATGTCCATATGTATATCAATACCAGTCCAGTCCAGATAACGTAGCTGCCCGTCTGTTTGTACGCGTCTGTCTGTCTGTTTGCATGGCATCTACACAATCGCCTGAATAAACTAGATGCCGGCAGCGCTCTTGCGTTGCCTTGGGCCAGAATTGGAGGAACGGTACTGAGGGCACACACCGGGCCAAACCACCGAAACCCAGACTGAGCCAAGACTGAGCTTGGACGGCTTGGACTGAACCTGAAACCAAACGAAACATCCCAAAAATGCTTCGAAGCACGTGAGATTGGTGCGGATATCTACCTACAGTATGGTATGAATTAACTGCACGTGCATAGTTCATGTCCCAGGCACCCCAGTGCAGTCATTTTCATAACTTCATGTAGCGTGTGTCTAGTTCTATCAGTGTACCGACTTTTGTGTCGCTAGATCGACGTTTCCCGGGATCAGAGGATCCCTCGTCAAAACCGTTATCCGCCCCCCGCACGCGCAGCTTGCACCCCTCGGATATTATCTCGCCGGAATGTCGTGATCAAATGTATTCTTCTTATGACCTGCAAGTTTTGAACCAGTTAGAGCTGCCGTTTACCCTGCAGGCGTGGCAACGTACGAAGGGGTGCAATCGGCTTGCACGTGCATAGCTCATGCACCACAGAGTTTAGCTCAACCAAATGTGCATTATTTTGGAGGCCTTGCCTGGGACTACCATTGAACCGATTTTGAGGTTGATAGCTTAGAATTTCTTTGAGCCAGAGGACCTCACGTCAAAACGGTTTTCCGACCCCAGCACGTGCAGCCTGCACCCCTCGCAGACGGTGACCCCCCTGGAAACTGGTTCAAGGTGTTACCGATGTGTCCCGCCAGTATGGCTTTGCCCGTGACCTCGGGTTGACCTGTAGCCTTGACAAAAAATTTCGTGTCACCGAAACTTTGAAGCGGAATAGCATGTGCCACGAAGCACTGAGCGAACCGAGGCCAGTACCAAAAGTTTACCTCGCCGGAGTCGAGTCGAACGGTCCCACTTTCGTCCCGATCGGTCCACCCATTTTGACTCCAGGTCCAAAAAAGCTTGGACAAACTCACATACTCACTCACATACTCACTCACATACTGACAAACAGGCTTGGCCGAACTTTTCTTCAGCGACCCACCAATGGGAATTTCCGGATGCAAAAGCATGCTATCGCATGCTTTTGATCCTCCAATTCTGGATAAGCCTGTCTTTGGATGCCTATTCTTCTGTAACGAGTTTGTTTCCATTTCTAGTGTCCATGTGCCCGTACTCCTATAAATACCTCCAACGGATAAGGTTATCGCTGAGGTTATTACGGTCTATCAAGATACACATAGACAGTACCCGCCGGCGCCGGCCAGCCGACTGACCTGCTGACCGCTGCCACCTCTGACTGGGTCAGGGCAGGGATGTCCGTGAGGGGCCGGGTGTCTTTCAGCTCCAGTGTATCCAGCTGGGAGCAGCCGTGGAGGGCGGCTAGCGTAGTTTCGGAAATGGCGTTTGCTCCATTAAGAGGGACGTCCTCCAAATTGTTGAGAGCAACCAGGAGGCGTCCCGTTGCTTCCGGTGTCACAGACGGTGACGCTGTAAAATATAAATACAGACAAACATACGAACTGAAATGGCACATATAGCAAAATTTAATAACCAGTAAGACTTCTTTTTACGTAACGAGCGGGCGAGCAGATTAGTGGATCCTGCACGTACACTCAGAAAACACTTTGAGAACATTTTTGAATAAGGGCTCATACACTGGCGGATCCAGACTTGCGTTTTGGGGGGGGCCAACTCCTGCAAGTAACCAAACCTAGGGTACCCCCAAATCCTGTTTTCTCATCGGATTTAGGCCACTTATTTTTTCGTCACAGCCCTGAAACGATATTTTTTTTAACTAAAAAAAAAAAATAGAAATGGTAGCCCACCCAACCCGAGCCTAAATATTACTTTGCAACACTTCAAATTGCTTTTGTCGACCAATTAGCCCGCTCCGGGTCGGTGCGTGGCGCAGCCTTCGCGGGCTGGGAGGTGTCGGTTGGACCCCCTGCCGTTCGGCCCCTGATTAAGCTAGAGCTCGCGGAAAAAAAAAACAGGCGTGTTGCCCGTGAGTGACGAGACGAAGCCGATGATACCCGATTTTAAGGTCCTTGGTCATTGGTTGACCTTCAAGGGCGGTGTTTCACGGTCGTGCTGACAGCCGCTGACAGCGCATTCCGCGAGCTAAGGTCAGCCTTCGGTAGTGTTGTGGGTATAGGCTTGTTGATGTCTCCATTGAAACCAAAAGTGCCATCAGCGCTGGCAGCGGCTGGCAGCGTGCCGTGAAACACCGCCCAGGTCAGGTCACAGACCCAAAAGACGGGAAAATCAGGACCTGTCAGAACCTCCTAAAGTAAGGCTGTAATACGTTTTTTTTGTGCTGATCACAAATTTCATGTTAGTTTGGATCATAGATAATGTCTTCATGCGTTTAGACCATGTCGGGGCAGGTCAGGTCAGATCAACCAGTAGGAGTACTTATGGGCGTCCGTATAGCAGGTGTCCACTACCACTGGCAGCTACGTAACATGATACGAAGGCATCAAAACTACTTCATAAATGTTCAAATGGCTGCAAAATGCTAAATTCAAAATCAGCTTAACGAAACTATCCTAGAAACATGTTAAACTCGGAAAAGTGCACCGAGGTCATCAAAGGTCAATGACCTGACTTGACCGTAAGGTGACATTGGCATCCGCCCTAATGCGTGGGAGCAACATCATATCACATGTTTGAGCGTTTTAAACCACGAAAAGACTATAAAAGCGCGGATAATGTGAGCCGACATACGCCGAATCGCTATTCCGGCCAAACATGGCCTCCAACATGGCCAAACAGTCTCGAGAAATAGGCCACAAGTCAAAGTTCACTTGGGTCAGGGTCATGAAATTTTCAGACTTTGTCACCATGAGGGTACTAAAGTTTCGTCGCGATCGGCTTCATGATATAACCTTACACGATAACTTCACACGTCGATCGAGAGTTAAAGCATGGATGAAGGAGAACCAGGGGATGAAGGTTCTTTCATCCATGGTTAAAGTGTGCAATAAGAACTTCTTGGGTGAAGACAAGACCAACACTTTTATCAAGCTCACAGATTTTTAATGATACGGTATTTTCTTTCTACCTACTACGCCCTTCTCACATTCATTTTTCTTAAGTGTTTTTGGGGACAAAAAATATATGTTGTTCCCCTTTCAGGCTTGGGGGCATGACCCCGTGGCCCCCCTGGATCCGCTAGGCCGAAACTAACTAGGTCGTTTTCAAACGGTCTGATATTTCAGGTCATAGTTTGCAAACGGCCGGTGTTTTCAGGTAGTTTCATATGGCCTGACTGGGCCAGGCCGTTTGCAAACGGACCGAATTTTCATACGGCCTGTAACATATATTCAGATTTCGACATCTGTCGTAGCATCAAATGCTGATGTGGCGCACTCAAAAGCCGGAATTGGTCCTTGGATGCCGTAAGGACCCTTTTAAGAAATAAGTGACCCGACTGACCCTTAGAGATTGGCCTGAGCTGTGACCGAAATAAGTCTTTTACCGTTTCGCAGGAAGGGACAAAAAGGTCCCTCATATGCTTCTTGTACAATTACGAAACAAAACAAGTTTTTTTTTCAACGAAAACTCAGTGAGTTTTCCTAAAAAAAATTATTGCGCATATTCCGTGAATGAAAAGTTGCCGGGTCATGTCAGGTCAGGCTGCCACAGCAAGTTTGTTAGCTTGACAGTTCAATCGATATATATGCAATAAGACCTTCTCGGGTGACGACAAGACATGACCACACTTTATGATGGAAGCTAGTAAACCCGGTAGTTTCTCCATATTGTGGTGGCATTTGTTCAGAAAAGGTCTGATCTACAATTGTGGCGCCGTTGATACGAATACGCACGGGTTTGATTATTCGTTTTTCTTGTATTTGCGCCACATGAAAGCGCGGGAACCGGGGGGAGGGGGCAGTGGTGGCAGCTTCCCCCCCCCCAACTCTGGGGCCGTGCGGGCGGTGCCCCCACAACTTTCAGACAGAATACCGCTCCTTTTTGCAAATGTTTTCTTTTTTGTTGAAAAAGCCAAGGGATGAAAAATAAGTGGCCTAAAACCGGCCAGAAAACTATATTTGGGGGATCCTAGGTTGATCTCTATCATGGTGTGACCTCCCCCCCCCTCGTCTAAAAGTAGTTCCCGCGCCCCTGGGTTTCTCTACGCTATTGAATCACGCTGCTGATTCTAGTAAGTATCTACTACACAACCTTCTCACATTAATTTTTCTTCGAGCGTTTTGGGGGGCCAAAAGATATGTTGGCCCCCTCTTTCAGGCTTTTTGGGCCCATGGCCCCGGTGGCCCTCTTGAATCCGCCAGTGGGGGCGGTGCCCCCACAACTTTCAAACGGAATACCGTCCTTTTTTGCAACTGTTTCTTTTTTTGTTGAAAAAGCCAAGGGATGAAAAATAAGTGGCCTAAAACCGGTGAGAAAACTAGATTTGGGGGGACCCTAGGTTGATCTCTATTATGGTGTGCTCCCCCAGTCTGAAAGTAGTTCCCGCGCCCCTGACTTTCTCTACGCTATTGAATCACGCTGCTGATTCTAGTAGGTATCTACTACGCAACCTTCTCACATTAATTTTTCTCCAAGCGTTTTGGGGGGGGCCAAAAGATATGTTGGCCCCCCCTTTCAGGCTTTTGGGGGGGGCCATGGCCCCTGTGGCCCCCCCCCCCCCTGGATCCGCCAGTGGGCTCATATGAGTGCCAAAACAGGGCTCAAATCTGTATGATTTTAAAATCGGGATCAGTTAGGCGCCCTTTTCGGGCTCAAAGTACATTAGCCCCGAAAGCGGCATCAGTTCGTCTTCCTTTTCGGGCTCAATTCGAGCTGCGTTTTAGGGCTCCATACGACATTCCGCCATTCCGTCTTTTGCTGTTTTCAGTGCCATGTGTTGGTGTACCTACCGCCGTGATTTCAAAATGAATGGTAAGTTATTAGTTATCAGTTATCGCGATCTTTTAGAAAAAATCAAGATGTTGATGCTCATGCCATTTTAATCCCTTATCAATTAAAATTGTGGTGGCATTTGTTCAGAAAAGGTCTGATCTACAATTGTGGCGCCGTTGATACGAATACGCACGGGTTTGATTATTCGTTTTTCTTGTATTTGCGCCACATGAAAGCATCATATCTGGATTCAGGATGTCAAATAGTGTAAGAATGTGCAACATTTTTGTCTGGTTTTTCGTGATGATGTGATTGAAGCAATGCTTTCAAGGGTAGGTAAGGATTTTGTAACTTGTTCGTAATGGTTATCTTGATGCTCAACTAAAATTAATCCTAACCTTGCCTACTAACCTATTAAGTTAAACTTAGTACCAATACCTACCAACCTACAACCTATTTGGATCTTTCATATACTTATAACATGCTGCTGCTTCTGCTAACATGCTGCGGAATGCTGTTTGACATGATGGAATGCTGGTATGACAGTGTTCCATGTTTCAGAATTTTAGGTGAATAACCACACATGATGGGGAAAATATTTTCATCATAAAAATATGACAAGTAGCTTTATTTCATCTTTGCTAAAAAATATGTCAAAAGTTTGATTCAGCTGCCAGGTTACGCATGACTTGACAGTTGATGCATCTACTCTATATCATTTCATTTCAGATCCTGTGAAGGTTCTGACAAAATCTGAGGTAAAAAATGGCATTATGCAGTTTTGCGGAAAGACTAAATCTATCTCATTTTGTCTTCAGTTTTTTATTGGGACACCCAATTGAAATCCAATTTTAGAACACTGTGACACCATGCCTGTGTGCCAAGTAAGAGGAAGGGTCTACAAGTATACATCAAGATAACCAATTATGGACAAGTTGAGACTTGAGTCATGAGCTCTTATTTGTGGTTACAATACCTTCAACTGCATGATTTTGCACAACTTCCATACAGGCATCCAGACTGGAAAAGGTTCACTTCAAGTCCATACTTATTCTGGTGCTTGAATATGGCAGTTCAAAGATGGAAGGCATATGATGCTACAAAATGAAAAAAGTAATTCAACTTGCAAAAAATAGGTATTCATATCTATCCTAAACTAAACTAACCTAAACTTAACTAACCTAATCCAACCCAACCCAACCACCCCAACCAGCCCAGCCCAGCCCAACCCAGCCCAGCCCAGCCCAGCCCAACCCAGCCCAGCCCAGCCCAGCCCAGCCCAGCCCAGCCCAACCCAAAACCTACAGTCTAAAACCTAGAGCTAAAACCTGCAGCCCAAACTGGAAAACATCCATATGGTACGCCGGACGCCCGTGAAGCCATCATGCGCCGAAGTTCGGCGCAAGCTATTTTGCAATTTGCGCTGAAATTTCTGCATTATTTGCGCCGAAGGTTAGTGCCCTTTTGCGTCAAAATTAAGCCACTTATACAAAAAGCACGTTTACATCTGCTGGCCAAGGTTTTATAAACCAGACAGAACGCTCTGGGCCTTAACCACTCCTGACTCCCATGTTTGAGCGTCCAAATTAGTTGATGTTTCCATGGAAGCTGAATACCAC